GTCCTCCGGGCCCAAGTCGCTGCGGGAGATGCCGCATCCTTTGGCCACGTCCAGCAGCGAGGAGATGGGGCCGGCGCTCACCCCCAGCCCCGACCTGCTTCAGCCCCGCAGCATCGCCGACAAGGTACGGCCCGGGGGAGGGTGTGTGGGGGTGTGTGTGTGTGCGGCATTTGGGAGGGGTCTTTGCTTTTGAAGGGGAGTATAGAGAGGAGGGAGTAGGGCTGTGTGTGCATTCCCGCGCCACAGCCCCTTCCCCGGTTGTATCCCTGCCTCCCCGTGGGGAAGTGAAGCCCTGGGCACTGCTGACATCCATTGCAAGAGCCCGGGGCTGCCCGAGGTGGGGGGGAGAAGGCACCCGGTGTGGGGGCTGCAGGCATCGTGCCTGTCTGTGCGAGGGACCAGCTGGGACACCGGTGCTCCCACTCTGACCGGAGTGGGTGCGAGAGGCAAGATTTTACTGATTGTTTTCTTCCTGTGGTTCATACCCTCTACAGAGGGGTCTGAATGCTTCTGGAGTTGCAGTAACTCCCGTGCTGTCTCCTTCCTGTAGCCCTCATGGGAAAGGTTTGGAGCTGCTGTTTCCTCACCACTGAGCTTGCCATCAACTTGTCTGTGATTGTCCTCTCCAGAGCTGAGCTCCTGCTTGCTTCTTCACAGCAGTGTAATATGGAAAGGATGCTGTTGTATCTGTGCCTGCTTTCCCTTCCCCAGCTCTGGCATGTGTCTGCAGGATGCTGGCAGGCTTTGTAAAGTGTCTCACCTGTGTGTGGGCCTTGGATGTGATAATTTCTGAATGTGAAAGCAGTAGTGGTAGCACAGCTGATATGTTAACTACTCTTGCAAGGATTTAGTGTTTCTGGGGGCAGACTTCCTGAAATGGTTAAGGTAGGATTTCCTGGGAGCAAGGGTTGCAAGGGGTGAGATCACTTTGAAACTATAATAAGCAGTTCTGGGCCAGCTGGTGTGTGCACAAGGTGTCACAGAGCTGCTGGTGGCAAGAGGTGCTTCCTATGGCTTTTTCCTGGGGAGTGTGGAGCTGCTTCTGGGCAGGATGGATCTACTAGCCTCTAAAGGCTGTGGGGCTGCCAGCAGTCTCTGGTTCGGTGCACTCCCATGCAAAGTAGTCTGGCCTCTTCCATGTGCCACCTTCTGCAGCCCTGCAACTGTGCTGTACATATTCAGCACTTGTTCCTGCCCGTGTAAGGAGTCCTCTCCTTGAACATTTGCCCACTGTTGCTCGAGTGAGAAACCAGGCTTACCTTCCCTCTGGGAACATACAGCTTCATCTAAGAAACTTGTTGAAGAGTTGATGGTCCTCTGAGAGAAGGGGGTATGTGAATAAGGTGAGAGAAGGAATTGTGGAGTTTTTTTGTCTGTGATAGATTGGATTTACTCATGTAACTAGGTTGCTGTCTGACAAACCTGTAGCAATAGGTATTGGCAGCTGCCTTCTGGGATCTTCTCACAGCTCAAGAGTGCAGTGGTGGTATTCACTCTATTAGCACTGTCCATCCACACTGACGCATAGCTGGTGAGAGGCTCTGTTCTGAGGAGCAGCTCACACCCTGTAACTTCTTTGCTTAGCTGTATTAAAGAGCTCTTTTGCTTTTGGAGTGTAGGCAAGCTCCTCTCTGCTTTACTGCTTTGAGGTGTCTGAGAAGTGTAACAGTATCCCTGATAATGTAGGGGCAGAAATACCTCTCTGGCTTCAGGTTATGGTCAGCTAACTTCTTGTCAGTAGGACAGGGTTTTTCCACCAGCAGCACATGTGAAGGCCATCTTCCAGTATCTGTATGTAGTACTGTTGTGTTCCAGGCACTTGGGAGCACAGAAGTACTCTAAAGGGGAGAGCAAAAAGGGGCTGAGGTAAGTGATTTTTAGTCTCGAAAGCAGTTCTGTGGTTGACTGGGAAATGGCACTACGATAAATGAGCCTTGTAGAATGAAAGGATTTCCAGTAGGAAGAGAGCAGTGTTGGCTTTTTTTTTTTCCTTCTGGCTGAATTAGCAGAAAAAGCCACATGTCTGATCCTTCTGATGGAAGGAGTCCAACAGCTCTGCTGTGTGAGGGATGTCCCTTCTTCCACTTAATACCTGAAAAGAAAACAATGAGTTGACTTCTTTCCCACCTCAGGAAAAACTTCAGTGAACAAACAGGTGTTACTTACTTTAAGGCAATGGTAAACTTCAACTGCTTGCACTGTGTATTGAGTAATCTAGAGAGTGAGTATGGTAAGTGGAGGTAAATAGGTAAAACTGCCTTTTAGGTGGTTAGTATGTCTCTTGGTCTTAATCTCTGGTGGTGGGTCATTAATCTCTTGAAAGGCTGGCTCACTAATCAAATGACAATGTGTGGATAGCTCCAATAGCTGGATAATGGAGGGAGGTCAGTATTCAAGTCTGACTTGGGCTTAAAGCTCTGCAGTTGTTCTTCATTGATTCTTGTATAGGAGCTGTGGTCATCTGCTCTTCGGGCCTTTCTGGAGAGTCTGGTGAAGTTTGGGTGGAAGTCTCCTGCTTCAAAGTGGCTCTGAGTCAAGTTCTGTAAGGGCCACTGTCCATAATCAGGCCTGTACTAGGATGTCCCTCTAGGAGAGGGGTAGTGGCAATGGCTGACCCATCACCATGAACTGGATGACTTTTTCTGGGTTCTTCTTACCTGCTCTGAGCAAATACTTCCTAAACACTGCTGAAAGATAAAAGTACTTAGTACTGAAATCCTCTGAGAGGAGAAAGTGCACAAGTAAGGGAAGTTGCCTGTCTGTAAAGCAGTGCTTTAGTTTCCACTGCCACAGATGTGCAGCCTGAAGTGGTTGAACCTCTGCCACCACTCCTTTGCATTCTTTAAAGCATGCTTTCCTTGCTTTTTTGGAGTTGCTGAGTAAGAACACTACTCCAGAGGAACCTGGAGGACAGGAACACTGCCTGTGTGTCTCCTCTTGGTTTTTGATTCAAACAAGGGAATAATCTAGTAGCTTAGACCCTGTTCAACTTTGAAGTCTCATAAACCTTTGGTTGCTGTTTAAGAACAGTGGCTAATGCTACTAGAGCACTAGATCATGGGAAAGGGAAGGAAAACCTGTGCTGCTCTCTGTGGCTTCCTTGGTTCTGAGGGCCTCTAAGTAGGCTAATCTCAAGTTTTCTGACTCTTACAACGAGGGCTGCAGAGCCTTCATTGTCTGAAATAGCTCTCAGCCTACAAGTCAGGATGAAGATGCTGTTTTAGGAGCCAGGAAATCTTGACGTCTGAGCAGCATCTAACCTCTTAAATGAAATGGACATTTCTGGCTAAGTACTTGGCTTTCCCAGTGATTCTGCAGCAAACATGAAACACTTGAGTTGTAGATTCTTGTCCCTGAAGCATTTCTGTATTGACCAGATCTTTCCGTAAAACATTCTGTTCCTCTGAAGCCTAATTACATAAAACATTGTTTGTCCTGATACCTGACCACCATCAGCTTTTCCAAGCTTATTTTCCCTTTATCCTTGCCTCCAAATAAGGAGATAGCTAAAGCTGAACCTAAGCAGTGTTTTTCACATTGGGTGAGAGGGAAACAATCCCTCAGATTCCACGGCAGGGTCTGTTTCAGAGTTAGTCGTGAAAATGAGGTCTTGCTCTCTTACAGAGCTTTTGGAAGGCATGCAAGCTAATTGAGATCTGCTTTTCAGAGCAGATCCTCTGCAGAGGAAGGTAAGACAAATGGGGAAGTATCAATGTGTATTTCTGTTTTTTTTTCCCTTAAAAAATAAAATAAGGAAGTTCTGTTTGCATCGGACTACTTGACTCCAGTTCACTAGTTTGTCACTTTCGCTTGTGAATCTGCTCTGTGCACTAGGACACACACTTTGACACTGGGGAGACAAGGCATTATTAATAGGTTACTGAGTTCAGAGCAGAGGTGAAAAGTAGATGTTATTCTGTGGAGGTGGAAAGTAGTAGTTGTACACAAATGGTTGTAGCAGCATGATAAGACTCAGGATGCAGCCCTGCTGAGGCTGTGCAGGCTTAATAGCATGCTGCTAAGTGTCAGAAGTGCCAGGCTGTGCAGAATTAGAAAGAAAGAGCTCTGTATGGCTTACTCCTGCTGTCTTCTAGCTGTGATGCTTGTAGTCCCTCTAGACTTGTGTCATGAGACTATCTTCCTAACAGGGTGATTTGGCTGTTCTTGCTATGGTCTGCCTTGAGACTGGCAATTATCTGATAGGCTGGGAGTCAGGACTCTATCACTCCAAAAGCTTTAATATCCCACCTGTCCTAGGGCTCAGACTCCCCTGTCCTCTTACAGGCATCTCTGGCTACCTCACACTGCACAAGGCCAGCTACCTATAGCCTGTTCAGCTTTTCTTCTTTGAAGATGCCCATGCTTTGTATTTGGTTCTGTTAAGACTAGACAGGTAAAGTGAGCTTCAGGGCTGTTTTACAGGTAGTATGTATATCAAGCACATCTGATGTGGAATACCAGGCTTGTACTGTATGCTTAGCTTGAATTTGCTAATTCATGGGGATGGATGTTGAAACTCCTACTGCAAACTTCTGTTTACTGACTGAAAACTATTGCTTGCATGTGACCCCTTGCTTATCTGCTTCCAAGCTACCACCCTTGTGAACCCGTAGGCCTATATTAGCACCTGATAAAGTATAAATACTTGGCGTGTTTGTTAGAGTGCTGTTACTTGGCACTCATATTCTGGAAGGAAGCCTGGAAGTTCTCCAACAAAAAAATGAGTCTGGAGCTCTACTTCCAGCCTCCTTGGTTGCTAGTTTATAATTATTGCTCTTAACTTTATCCACCCACAGATGAAACCAGTTTGCAGTATAATCTGAAAGTTTAAAATAGATCTGCCTGAGCTTCTACAAACCTCTTCCTTCTCCGTCTGAATGAGACCTGTTAGACCAGTACCATGTATTGTTCTTAAAGCAAGGTGGAGGTAAATTCTGAGTCTTGGGAGACACTGAGGACTACAGAAAGTCGGGAACTGAGTTGGTGAACCTGTGAAACAGTGTCAGTACAGATGAGTTGATCTTAGTTCCAATCTAGAGGAACGGGAAACTGACAATCACAGAGAAGTTGAGGCTGGAAGGCACCTCTAGGTATCGTATAGTCCAACGCCTCAGTTCAGAGGAG